CTTGTTAAATAAAGAACTAAAGGAAAACCTGGGAAAGCCTCACACTAAAAACTATGAATTATTTAAACTAACAGATTTCAATGTATCTGATATCTGCTTTCTTCAGGAGACAACGCAGAAGTCACTGGTATTTATACAATCTAGCACAGGTGCTACAAATCAGGGCAACGTCAGAGGCCGATCTCAGGGAGGCCGGAGACCAAACACAAGTCCACACAATCAGGGAATCAACCAGCACAAATGTCAAAATAGAATACACTTACATACCAAAAAAATAAGAATGCACAATACAAATTCAACGAAGAAGAAACATTGATCAATATCAGTTGGTCGCAGAGACCTTTGCTACGTGAAATCCCTCTCGCTCCCAGTTTCTTGTTTGTATTTCAATTAGAGACGCATCAATACTGAGACTAACATCGGCTATTGGATATCGGGCCAATTCAAAAAAACTGGATCGGGTATCAATGGGCCGACCTTGTGTTAGATACCATTATTTTAATAATTAACAATTCAGCACATTTATATCTACGTATCTATTTGTTTCATTGTATTTTAAAAAGTTAGGAAAGCAATGTTTAAGTCAAGCTTGGCGTTGCCTTACACAAAAAAGAAAGATCCCAGGTCCTTCCACTCAGTGGGAGGTTATTGTGAGGTTACAGCGTATTGATTGAACACTCGTATCAGACCGGCTCTCTGTTTCCACCCACACCTAAAGTCCAGGTATCGATATTGGTATCGGGACTGAGAAAGTTGGTTGTTGCATCCTTAGTTTCAACTGTTGCTATATCCGATAAAGGTCAATGTCAAAATGCGATACTTGAGCTTCCGCTGAAAGCTCTGGAAGAAATCCAGCAAGCGGAACTTGAGAGAAGATGTTTTTGTCAAACGATTTATGGATTATTATTAGACAAATGGTTAATCCCTCATGTAGCTATCATTGTTATCCTGATTTAAGAATCATTTTTTAACATAACAAACTCACCACAAGGTCCATTTTGGACCTTTCAATTGTATCCCACGAGCTTCATCAGTTTTCATGGGGATTGTTGATATTCTTTTTTGCCCTTTTTGAGAACTCGTTCTTGTTGCTTAAAAGTGGTGACTGAAGGTTCCTTCTTTCAATCTCAATTGTAACATAAAGTATTTTGCAATTATTGAAGAAGTATGTAATGCAGTAACGGGAAAAGTTGAAAAAGAGGAACATATTTTCTTATCACTACAAACTGCCTAAAAAAGAAAGAAAGAAACAAAAAGTCGAGACATTCTTAACAAAGGTTCCTCCTGCAGAGGTCCTGTACTCGTTTGTAAATGACTTTAGATACAGTCCCTTGTATCGATCTGTAAAGATCTCAATGGATATGAGCTAAAAAACCCTGATTCAAGTTAAATAACTTAATCAAGGAAAATATAAATATCCTCTCTGTAAGCAGAATCCCAGGACACATTTGCGTGCAATAATAATGGTCTTTTATTGCAAACAAAAAAACAAAATACAATCTACCGCACTTCCATCTCTGATTCCATCAATCATTCAAACAACATACAAAATAATTGGTCAGAAACTCTCCAGAACAAATATAAAATGCAGTGAAAACAGGCTCACCCACTACGGTATCGTGAGAGCGGCACTTCTCGAACGCACATAAGATAAACTAACGCTCTGTGAAAATTACAGACCTCTTACAAAAAAAACAATAAAAAAAGAAAATAGCCAGCATATTTACAGGACAATAATATTTTCTTTGAGTCTGGCTCGTCTACATTCCCAGTGAAACTTTACTTATTACTCAGTAACTAAATTGTTACATGTGTCCTTTTAAAGCATATAAGGCATGACATAATCAACCTTTTGTCTATTCTGATAACAGAAAATCTTAAATATCAAGATGGAAGACATAGTAACAGACCAGTCGGTCCTCCTCTTTGACGATATTAATATCCTTTATATTAACGCTTGTTGTTTTTCAAAGTTTCTGTGCATTGCTCAGCCCGTCTAAGGCACCAACTATTCAGTAGGGGAGTCCAGAACAACCTGTACATGAGCATATAAATCAAACCGCTAATCCTACGCTAACCGATTAGCATTATGTACATGTGTATAAACATTACTGATGAGAAATAATGAACGTAGAAGGTAGTGAATAACTTAATTTACATGCAACCAGTTGGTGAGTGATCCAAAAGAATAAAAAAAACAAAAAAAAAAAAAACTTAAAAACATTCATGACTTCAGCTCACTTTGCTTTTGTCAAACTGTCTTTAGAGATGAACAGATGCTGAAGGAAAAAGATCACTTTTAGAACAGAGACAACATTTTGCATTACCACAATAACAAACAAGTTGACAGCTATGAATCTGCCATACATTAGAAAAAAATTAAAAAATGTGTGCATGCAGACACGGATGTGCTATATATCAGAGTTTGAGCACTTTAGTTGCCAAATGCAATGAGAGAAAAAAAAAAGAAAAGTTAATTAAAAAGCTGAAGGGTTTGAGACGACGACTGCTTTTCGAATGTGGGCTGCAGTGGCAGATGTGTGGTGGATGGGAGCGTGTGCATGTGTGTGACGATGAGTGTGAGAGCGAGATTAAAGTAGTTTATTCTCAGACATCTAAACCTTTTGACCAAAGCATGGCAACACGAGGGCGGAGAAGGGTTAAAAAAAATAAATAAATAAAATGCACCCACAATCTATAAAACCCCCAATAAGAAAGGGGACCTCAAAATATGCCCCCCCACACACTCCACCCCCGTCCGGATTGTAACACAAGTATATGGTTCTGTCATCTAGCAACACAATTGACCAAACAGGGATCTTTCCAAAAACTGGTCACGTTTTCCTTTGAAGCCCCTTTGATCAATGCTTTGCTGCTGAGCAACCAATGAAAGAAGAAGCAAAAAGAAGTGGGAAAGTGGAAGGTGAAATGAAGCAGTGAGAGATGAGCTCATTCATGAGGTCAACTCTTTTGTTTCAACGGAACGTCACCGGGTTTGTTGATTGTAGGAAACGGGAAAAAAAAGAAACATCCCTTTGGGAGGCATCACACAGACAGCTCTAACCTAGACGCTTCTTAAAGCAGTTTTTTTCACTGGTGGATTAAGTTTCTAGTTTCCATGATCGCTGTAGATCCTCAGAGGAGCCAAACCCCCAACATTACAGCCTGCTCTGTGATCAGCAGTGATGTCAGCCGCGCACAACGTTTCCAACTGTGCTGTGAGGTATTTGCGCAATCATACTTCAAACACGTACTTAATAAAGCCGAAGGATCAGTTTATTAGTGCTCTTCCCCCCCCCCC